CCCCCCCCCTCACCCCCGCCGCGCCACGCCGCGTCGCGACACGTGTGCCACGAAATCTGTACTCCGAGAGTAAGTAAGTACCATGCTTCGTCTGCACGAAAGGTCAGGAGGGTCCTTCCCTCGCCGCCCATGAGCTCCGCGTCGCTCCGCGCCGCCATGCGCCGCCATGTCCCGCTATGCGCCGCCCTGCGCCCTCCCCCCTATTTTCCATCACATCCTCTCCCTTTTCCGTACGAGGGATCGCTCAAATAAGTACTACGTACATGCATTTTCAGGAGGGTACAATTATTATGGGGTCCCAAAATGATCAGGTACATCTTTGTAGTCCATAGAGACCCCATGATATTTGTACCACGGGTTCAAATATTGTGGGGTCCTACAACTGGCAACTGCAATGATGGCTCCTGTCTCTTTAGCCCATAATATTTATACCCACGTACCCCTAAAAGTAAAGGAGCGTTGAAACAATCTCTTACCCGTCCTGCAGTTCTCGAGGTCCTGGTTCTTGACGATCCACTCCCTGAAGTGCTGCAGCGCCTGCTCCCGGGTTAGGCGGTCCTCGCGCAGCTCGGTCTTGGCCACGGCCAGCGCGCGCTCGGACAGCCCCGCCGCCGTCTCCTCCTTGCTGTCGGCGGCAGTCTTCGATGACTTGGTGGACGGCATCTCGCTGCTGCTTTACCCTGTTCCTGGAAATAGTTTGCCTTCGTACACCTTTGTTTGGATGTATGTTACATATCCCGAGCGCAACGGCTGTGCCCGGCCCGGCTGCGGCCGCCCGGCCCGCGGAGACACGACCGCAAAACGTTACGTTATGAATGTACCCGACCGCGACCATGGACACACATTCATTTCATATCGCAGTGTTTTTTTTTCCTGTTTCGTTTTCGCCGTCGTTGAGGTCCTTGTGACAAGCGTTACACAAAACGCATCGTCAGTACGCGTCACTCTCACTTTCTCGGAACGGTCATGAATATACAAGGTATCGACGCGAATCACAGAGCACATTGATTGGATTCGCTCCATCAAATAAGCATCTCGCACCCTCGACAGAAATGTGTCGGCGTGAGCCTTGAGATGCACTGCAATAAGTAGCAAGTAACACGAACCATCAACTCTGATGGGTCATAAAGTTCACACTATAATCTCCGTTAGTGTCCCCTATTGCAGAACCCCCCTTTTATTCCCCCTCCCCTTTTCACTAAAGCCACGCAGCGGTTTGCGGTGCGGGGCGGGCGACATGGGCCCGAGCCTCCCGTATACCAAGAACCTTCCTCTTCACTTGACCATATCCAGCATACTGCTGTAACTTGACCCCTGACTTGACCAACACGACCGCACTGCATATCTTTTGACCTGCTCATCATAGTTAGAGACACGGGAAGTTCAGATGATGCCAAATCGCTGGGTTAAATTAAAATACAGCATCTGTTGTAATTTTGACTTACAAAAGGATGTTGTAAATTTACGACAGCTCATTCTTGTTCATATCAATTAGAATGAAGCCGATTCAAGGTTTCATAAAAAAAAATGAATCCTATAATTTAAATTTTATAACCTAACAACACTTCTCAAATGAAAACTACAAACATACTTTAACTTTTCACAGCGACCTAAAGATTTGTCCCCAGAACGTCATATTGACGAGTCAGAAAGGCGTCAAAATGAGGGACCCCTACTTCGACGTCGCGGTGACACTCACGACTCGCGAATTCCTCCTAAGGTGACCCATTCACTCACTCCTCTCTGGCAGACACACCGGCTGGCTAGGGGTGAAGTGCACCGCTGTCCGAACGAAACGAGCTGCTGACGCGCGGGCACTGCTTTGCTTGCGCAAACACAAAATAAACTCACGACGCGACACACACACACACACACACACACACACACACTCACTCACTCACTCACACCACGTTCTCCACACACACCTGTCGTGTAGATCCTCGCGACCGTCCGCAGCTTGCAACCGCCTGGAGCCGACTGAAGACTCTCTCGGTGCGCCCGTGGGATGGGATGGTCCCGCGGTGCAGAGCAAGAGAGGGGGGAGGGGGGGGGGCGGTAAGGGCTTTGCCCCCCGCCCGCAGGGGTATCTCCAGCGAGACGGTGAGGCGCGCTCTCTCTCTCTCCCTCTCTCTCTCTCTCTCTCTCTCTCTCTCTCTCTCTCTCTCTC